TCGTAATGTAACGGTCTCTGATTAGGTGAGGCACTTGAGTACCATTATGGTATTACATACCGTAACAAGCAGCTTATATACTAAAGTAGCATTTTTACTACATTGGAGTAAGTAATAACAGAGTTGTTATAGTTCTGAATTTCCAGGGCTAAAAATTTCATGAAACTTTATTAAATATATACCGACACTCTCATTTTCAATACAATCTTCATATCTGACTAATAAAGGTAAGACATATCATTAACTGGAGTATCATATTGGGTTTCCACAGTAGTTTTTATTGACCTATATATCTCAAACCTGGAAGACTTTTCAGATTTTTCCAAGCAGGGTTCCTAGGTGATCATTTTCTCATCAGTTAACCTCTCTCTCCTTTGTGTTTGGAAGGGTACTTTTATGTGCCATCTTGGGGAGAAATGAAGAAACTCATTTATCTTTCTATATGGCTCCATGGAACCTCAATGGGGGAACGGTTGCTAAAGTATCACAGGATGTGTGGGACTTCACAGTTCACTTTCAAATCTTCTCAGAAACTAAGAGACAGTATTACTTTACAAAAAAAGTATCAATGTGGGTGAGTCACATGTTTAGAAACAACTTGGACAACAACTGACCAGAGGTAGAGGGTTATATTAAATTGTCTTACACACAAATTACTGCACAAGTAAGTTTTAATTTAATGCTTCATTTATAAGAAGCATGCAGTGGAAGGGAGTACAGGACTGAGGATAGAGCACAGATGTAGGTTTAAATTCTAGCACTGTCACTTTTCTTGGACAAATTATTTCTAAGACTTAGTTTTACTTTAAATGAAAATAATATACACATATTATTGGATAATACAAATAATATACTGAATAGGACCCACGATGCCACATGTGGCAGATACAAGTTGTATTAAAAAAAAAAGTTGGTCCACATGTAATGCTGGCTCCTTCTCACACATAATAGAGTTTAATCATATAGTTTAATCCTATTAGAGTTATCAGGTTTCATCATTCATTAAAATGCTAAAGGTGTAGGGACGGTGAGAAGGATAGGGAAGGGGGAATAAGGGAAAAGGAAAAAAATATGAGAAAATGTAAAAATGGAATTAAAGTGTTTGAAGCGGGGGAGGGGAGGAGAGGGTGAAGGGAGGGTGGGGACAAGGGGAAAAAAAGAGAACCAAGACCTGGCATGTAAAGGTACAAGATCCCAGTAATGAATGTAACTGTACTGTATACCTAGAATGTACCAATAAATTAAATTAAAAAAAAAAAAGCTAACGTTTTCCAGGTTAAAAAACAATGCCTCCTTGAGCCATGACCAACAAGAAATGGTGTGCTTTCTCTAACCAGGAAGATTTTTCCCCCCACTGTTAACTACTGGGTAACTGGTATCTGACAGATGCTACTGCATCTTATTTATATATATTATATATTTGTATATATAGGTATATATAATTTTTTGTACCAGGGATCGAACTCAGGACCTTGTGCTTATGAGGCAGGCACAGTGCCACTGAGCTAAATCCCTAGCCCTGCACCTTACATATATTAAATCATTTCTTCTTCACAGCAGCCATGAGAGGATACTGCCACATTGTAAATGAGACTGAGTAAGACTAAGGAAATAAACAATGTTTAAAACACTCAGAAAACTCCTAATATTCAGGATAAGGACTATCTAGAGCTAACTTTTCCTGTTTATCCTCTTAGGTCTTCCAAGGAAGCATTCTTTCTTCCTTTGTTTGTTCCGTATCTGGTACCTATGATTCAGTATGTATTTATAATGGGTGCATCAGTCTTTTTTTTTTTTTTTTTTTTTTTTTCGGGTACTGAGGATCAAACTCAGGACCTTGTGCTTGTGAGGCAGGCTCGACGCCACTGAGCCAAATCCCCAGCCCCATCAGCTTTTTTTTTTTCCATTAAGTTTATCAATACATTTTAGGTATACGATACAGTTACATTCATCATTGGGATCTTGTACCTTTACATGACAGGTCTTGGTTCTTATTTTTCCCCATTCCTCTGCCCTCCCTTCAACCCCTTCACCTCTCCCTATTTACAAAGACTTTGTTTCCATTTTTTCCTTGTCTCATATTTTTTCCTTTCCCCTACCCCTCCCACTTTCCCTACCCCTTTAGACCTTTTCTTCGTATTTCACATTATCAACTATACATTTTGATCCTTATTTATACTTTTAGTTTCTCACACCAGAGAAACTATTCAGTATTTACACATGTGTGTCTTATTTATTTCACCTAACAGTATGGCCTAAATGTGCATCCATAAAGCTATAAATATCTCTAGTTTCTTGGTCTTTATGGCTGAGTAGTACTCCATTTTATAAAACACACACACACACACACACACACACACACACACACACACACACACACAGAACACCACATCTTCTTTATCCAGTCTCCAGTTGATGGGCAACTAGGTATTTCCAACTTTTAGCTATTACACACTATGCCTCTATAAACATGGGGGAACATATATCACTGCAGCATGATTCTTTCAATTCTTTTGAGAAGATACCCAGCAGAGGAATAGCTAGGTCCAATGGGACTTCTAATCCTAGTTTTTCGAGTTATCTCCATATTGATTTCCACAGTGGTTTTACCAGTTTGCACTCCCACTAACAATGGAGAAGGGTTCCTTTCTCCCCACAACCCCACCAGCACTTGTTACTGGTTAATTTCTTGATAGCAGCCATTCTTTCTGGGATGAGGTAGAATCTCAGTGTTTTCATCTGCATCTCTTGAATGACCAGTTATGTTGAATATTTTTCATGTTTATTTGCTGCTTTTACTTCTTTGTCTGAGAAATGTCTGTTTAGATGCCCATTCTGGAATTGGGTTTTTATATTTGGGGGGTTTGATTTTTCTAAGTTCTTTATATATATGTATGTATATATTTTGTATCTGAGATCGAATTCAGGACCATGCATTTGCAAGGCAGGTGGTGTCACCACTGAGCTAAATCCCCAGCCTTGTTCTTTTTATATTCCTTTGAGGAAGAGTTGATTAAAAATTTTCCCCACATTGTATGTTGTCTCTTAGCTCTGTTGGTGGTTTCTCTTGCAGTGTAGAAGCTTTTTAATAAGATGAGATCCCAGTTGTTGATTCTTTGTGCTAGTTCTCGTGCTAATGAGGTTTTGTTCATAGTCTTTTCCTAGGCCATTGTCTTCAAGGGTTCCACATAACTTATCTTCCAGCACGTTTCTTTAATCCACTTCGATTTTAGTTTAGTGCATGGTGAAAGATAAGGGTCTAGTTTTAATCTTTGGCAGGCTAAAATCCAGTTTTTCCAACACCATTTCTTAAAGAGGCTATCTTTCCTCCAGTGAGGATGGTCAGCTCCTTTTTCAAAGATGAGGTAGCTGAGTATGCCTAGAGTTGTTTCTGTATCTTCTAATCTATTCCACTGATACTTGGATCTGTTATTTTGCCAGAACCATGTTTTTTTTTTTTTTTTTTTATTACAGTGGCTTTGTAGTATAGTTTCAAGTTGGGGATTGTGATACCCTCTGTCAAGTCTCTGTTGCCTAGAATTGCTTTTGCTATTCTGGGTCTCTTCTGGTTCCAAATAAATTTTTGGATTGTTTGGACTCATGAAGAATGTGATCAGTATGTACTGAAAACATGTGCAAGAAAATCCCCAAAACCCCAAAATACCCTGCATTGGCCTAAAAGCAAGAGTTAAAGAATAAAATACATTTTCACTAACTCATACAACAAATGTTCTATTTGAAATCTGCGAAGACAATATTATGCATCCTACTAAAAGACAAAAAAGTACCCGCTTCTTAAAATCCCTGAAAATAATATCACACGTGATTGATTAATTGGTTTTCCTACCTTTAAAGATCATGTTGTTGAGAAAAGGAAAGAGGGGTTTCTGTCAGCAGACAGAATTAATGGTACCCCAAAATGTCCATATCTTAATCCCCCATATTTGTGAATGTTAGCTTAGTAGGCAAAAGGAACCTGAGATGTGGAGATCACCTGGATTACTCAGGTAGGGCCAAGGAAATCACAAGGGTCCTCCATGGAAGAGTGATTGGACACAACAGGGACTTACCAACATACAATTGCTTTGAAAATAAGGAAAGGGCCAAGAACCAAGGAACAAGGCAGCCTCTAATAGCAAGAAAGAAGAAACAGATTCTCCTTTAGGGCACTAAGAAAGGAATACAGTCCTGTTGACCTTTGATTGTAGCCTGTTAAGACCTGTGCTTGACTTCTAATCTATAGAACTGAAAGATAACAAATTTGTTGTTTTAAACCACTAATTTGTGGTAATTTCCTATAGTGACAACTGAAACTTAATACAAGAGTAAATTACTATGAAAAGAATTGCCAGGACTGGAGTTGTACTTTAGTGGCAGACCATTTTCTAAGCATGCATAAGGTACTGGGTTCAAACTCCAGTGCCGTTAAAAAGGAAGAAAAGAATTTTTTGAAACAACGATAACTCTTTGATAACGATAACACAATGATATTCCATAAAATACTCAGCAAATACGTTGTTTGTTTGCAATACTAAGAAAAGCACCTGATTCTCTGTTAGAAGCTAACACACAAGACCTAAAAATGCGATAAAGGAATTAAAATAAGCAGAGCATGGTGGCACATGCCTGTAATCCTGGCACTCTGGGAGGCTGAGACAGGAAGACTGCAAGTTCAAGCCTGGCCAGAGCAATTTATTGACTCAGTGAGCTCCTATCTCAAGAGGGGTGGGGGGTGAGAATGTAGACCAGTATGAAGGCTCTGGGTTCAATCCTCAGTGCCACCATAAATAAATACCAATGACTGCTTTGATTGAAAACTGGTTTAGAAAACAAAATAGAAGATATTTTCAACCAAATGGGAAGGAAATAAAAAATTAAGTAGGAAAATTTGGCATTTCTTGAATATACCATTAAAAAGACTGACATGGTATCTTTCTCAATAGGTCAGTCAGCCAGAAGGCAAAAATTAGTTAGTTATTTTCTTTAAAACTCATATTTACCTGATAATCCTCTGGGCAGCATACTGATGGAGAGAACGAAACTGTGCCGACATATTTGCTAAAGCTGCCAAACAATTTGTGTGAAGGTACTTGTCCTGTTAGAAAACAGCAAGTTTAAAACATACATCAAGTCTTCTCTATATTTTAAGCAAGGTTAACTAGAAGAAAATATCAACTCAATTGTCACCTATTTTATAAAATTTGAATCCATGGGCCAGGGATTTAGCTCAGTGGTGCCCACTGCCTGCCTTGCAAGTGCAAGGTCCTGAGTTTGATCCCCAGTACCAAAAAATAAAAAATAAAAAACAAAAATTTGAATCCACTATGTCTTTTCTTTAGTTCCCAAACCCACAAAGCACAGAGCCATTAAAATCTTTCCACAACTTATTTGAAGTAATGACTGATACAGACTTTTTTTTTTTGGTACTGGGGATTGAACTTGAGTCCTTGCGCTTGCGAGGCAGGCCACTGAACCACTGAGCTAAATTCCCCACTCTGATACAGACTATTTATGATATTCTTGCTGATCTTCATCACTCTCACCTTAATGAATAATGAAATAGTTTGCTGCAGGATATTAATGTTTGATTACAGTGTACAGCTTCTAATCCTATTGGTTATACATAGTAGAGCATGCATGCAATAATTACCTTTTAAAAAATCATTACCTTTAAAAAATGCAAAAATTCTCCATTCTAAAACATATTTAGGCTGGGCATGGTGGCACATCCCTATAACCCCAGAACTTAGAGGAGGCTGAGGCAGGAGAGTTGCTGTGAGTTTGAGGTCAGTCTGGGCTACACAATGAGTTCAAGGCCAGCCTGAACTATACAGAAAGACCCTATCTCAAAAAAAAAAATCAACCAACCAACCAAGCAAACAAACAAAACATTTAGCTCCTAGGATCTCAGATTAAAAAAAATATGGACATATATTTATATTAGACCCATATAGTGAAAATACTAAAGTAAATTTTACCATTTAGTTATGAATTCTGTTCATCATTTCTCTACTACCAGAATTGAAACCACTCTCCAGGAATATAAATAAAACCCAATAAAGATTTTTTCTTTTACTCTTTTTCTTTTTCCACAGTCCCAGGGATGGAATTCAGGGCTTTATAAGTGCTAGGCAAGTGCTCTAGTACTGAGCCACACCTCTATTTCTGCTTTCTTTTTACTGTTTAAAGCATTCTCTCTCTTCTACCTTTCTTTCCCATCTGAAAACATATTTTCTTGTGCTCACAACTTCTTCTTACACTTTGTTGTTGCTGCTTTCAAAAGGCAACTAAGTGTGTCATCAAATCAGCAAAGTTACACGACAGTCTGGATCTAAATGTGCCTCACTGCTTGTTTTCTTCCACGTACATCTCTGATCAATAATTCAATATTAAGAAAAAGACATTATCCCATAATCATGTAATACAGTGGCAACATGTTGATCTGTGTTTTCCATGAGAATATCAGCACTCCAAAAACTGAGATTACTTTACTGTTTACTTAGATGGAAAAATAGCTGTGGAATACTTACTCTTGTCCTTGTCATGTTGTACTGAATAGTCCTTATTACGACCAGAATCAGGAGACTCCCTAGTGAAATTTCAGTTAAAACCCGTTCTGAATACCAAGTAATGTTTTTTAATATCTGTAACAAGGAAGAAAAGTTTAAGTAAAATGACTGATTTAAAGAAAAAGAAAGTACTTCACATCTATAATTTTTGATAGGCCATGACTTTGCTCTAAAGGTAAATTAAGCAGTAAATGAAAATCAATTGTGAAATTTTCAGTTCCAGTAAGCAAACTGTGCTAAGGTGTTTACTTCTCCTTCCTTCTTAAATAGGAAAAAAACAAAAACAAAAATGAAAACAAACAAACAGGTATAGTAAATGCAGTTATCACTAGTAAACATGAAAAGGAGATGTACCTGAAGGAGCAATGGCAAAGGGGACAAAAAGTGACAGAAAAATCAAATAGAGCTTAAGTTGAAAGTGAAAATAAGAAAAGCTTTACAGGCAAATGCCAAGTACTCTTCAGTGCTTCACTGGCAGTGTATGTATTAGCGGATACTGGAAGACTATCTATTAGCCCAGTACTATACTGTGTAATAAAGTATTTTGAAGGCTGAAAGAAGAACAAGTGTTTCTTTTTTAGTGTATGTGCGGTACTGGGGGTTGAAACTTCATACTAAGATACAATCCCAGTCTCCCTTTTTTTAATTTTTGAGTCAGGGTCTTGCTAAGTGACTAGGATGGCTTTAAACTTGGACGCCTTCTGACTCAGCCTCCCAGAGTGCTGGGATTACAGGCATCACCACCATGATCAGCAGAGAAGTGCCTCTTAAAAAACAGAGCATTCCAAACAGACAGCAGAAAATCTTTCCACAGATGTTTAAGAGAGGCCCAGCAGTGCAGCGAATACAACTTTCAAGAGGAGACACGGATGTCCTTCTACGGCTGTACAGAGGAGGCAGATCTGGCACACACCTCTAAACCTCAATAAACAACATTAGGCTGGAACTACATTAGGTCGGGACATTCCCAGGGTAGTCAAGGAAAGAGAATGGACACACACAAAAACGACATGAGAGAGGACAATAAGTCTTATGGAGCGTTTAATCAAATTAATAGTAACTTACCACTTCATGAATGGACCGATTGAAGCCATCATCTTCTGTCAGGATCAGCAATATTATAAGGGCCATATATACATGGTGTGAATTTCTTTCTTCAACATGATACAGAATCTCAAGAATTGGTAAAACCTCGAGAATAAAAATTATAATGTAATATTTCAATACCTGATTGTAAAATTTTAAATTATTTTAAATCTTTGTTTTATTTTGTACCTTTTAATGTCATAGTTAAATTTTCCTTTAGAGAAGGAAAAAAAGCATACAAACCCCTTCTTGTTATAGGTATTGCTAAAAAACCAAGAAGGAAAATTATTGCAAACTCTACGATGGTCTCTAAAGGTCTATCCAACCTAAAGTCTGGATTTGCAGAGGCCATTTAAGCTCATGCGTTAGTTTTTATAAAGTCACATTACCTTTCTCCAACCAAAAAAACAGAAAAGCCCCGCTACTCAGAAATTAAAGAGCATCTTAATTTATATGCTTAATATCATTTGTATTTTAATGTTAATAAATAAAAATAAGCAAGTTCAAATAAGCAAGTAAACTATTACTACCCAAGGTACATTTCTCAACATGTATCTTGAGATTTATTCTTTTGGGGAGGCAGGTACTGGGGATCAAACTCGGGACCTTGCACTTTCAAGGCAGGCAGTGGAACCACTGAGCTAAATCCCCGGCCCTTGAGATTTTCTCTTCAGCATAATTGTCAAGCTTTTCATTTTATGACCCTGCATACATATAAATGAACTTATTTTGAGTCATTATTTTTATGCCTTCAATTTGTTCATTCATTCATTTATTCATCTGTAACCGAAATCAGACAATAACCTGCAATGAATAAATTGTTTACATTCACAAGTTCCTAAAACACAATGGCATACACAGCCCATAAAATAGGTAAATTTTGGGAGACACACCTATTGTAGTGACCTGAGGTATTTTAGTTTCATGAGTTGTGGGTGAAACTTCCAAATTATTAAGTGGTTGTTATTAACTTCCAGGAACTGAATGCACCACAGTTACCAAAATAGTCATTACTCTTTTTTTTTTCTAAGTAAACTCCAGGAGTCCTTGCCTTTGGAGGCCCTTTGGATACTATGCCAAATACATGGCATTATATTCTCTCTCATTCCACATTACCTAGTTAGCGTAGTTAAGACTTTACAGACATTTAACTCAACAGATGTTACTTCTGATTCAGCAGTTTCCTATATACATATTATGTCACGTCATTCTTTTTTCTGTCTAAGCTGTAGGAACTACATCCAGGGATACAGTAATACCCATCTGCCTACAATGTTCTCAAGATTCTGTACTTTAGCGGGCATGATAAACAATAAATGGTATATTCAAACATAAACAAAACCATGAGTAATGGGTCTGACAGGATTATGTCACAATAACACTTGAATTTTTCCTTTTAAATATTTTAATTGAGATATAATTTAAATACTACACCATTGATCCAATTTAAGACATCTGCATAAGCATGAGCTTTCTATATAGAACCCCAACTGCATACAAAATAACAACAACAAATGGGATCATATCAAATTAAAAAGCTACTGCAAACGAAAGTAACAACCAAGAGAGTGAGGAGACAACCTACCGGATGGGTAGGAATTTTTGCCAGCTATCCTTGGACAGAGGACTAATATCTAGAATACATGAAAAACTAGAACAAATTAGACTCCCCCCAAAAAAAGACCCAATTGAAAACTGGGTAACTGACACTTCTCCGAAGTAGTACAAATGGCCAATAATACATAAAAAAATATTCAACCTCTCTGGCCAAAAGAGAAATGCAAATTAAAACAACACCGAGATTCTATCTTTCTCCACAAAGAATAGCTATTATCATGAAATCAAATACAGTACTAATAACAAATGCTGGCAAGGTGGCAAGGAAAAAGGAACCCCTCTACATTGTTGCTGGGAATGTAAAGTAATACAACCTATGGAAATCAGCCTGGAGATTATTCAAAAAGCTAAAGCTAGAAATTCCATTTGGCCCAGCCATTCCCCTTCCAAGGATCTAACATTATATTACAGTGAAATATGCACACCCATGTTTACAGGAGTGTAACTCATAACAGCTCAATCTTGAAAGCAGCTGATACAGATGAATTGGTAAAGAAAATATGAATTAAACAAAAAAAATGTGAGAAAATGAAAAGATGGAAATAAAGTGTTTGTAAATGGGCGGGGAGGGAACAGAGGGCAGGGACAAGGGGAAAAAATGAGAACCAAGACCTGTCATGTAGAAGTACAAGATCCCAACAATGAATGTAACTGTACTGTATCCCTAAAATGTACCAATAAATTCAATTATTTAATAAAAAAGAAAATATGAATTAGTGCACAATAAAATAGTATTCTGTCATAAAGAAGGATAAACTTAAGGCATTTATAGGAAAATGAATACACCTTGAGACCATAATGTTAAGTGAGATAAATCAGATGTTCAAGTTAAATGTCACATAAATTTCATGAGAAACTCAAAATATACATAAAGAGCAAAATAAAAGATAATGTAAAATAGGAAGATAAATCTTTTGCAAAAGGGAAAGAGACCAAGAGATAGAGGGAGGGAGAAAAGGAGAAAGGGAAGGGCATAAAAAAAGAATTAAGAAGTGTTATATACATGTACCAACTCCCCACAATGAATATAATCATTACTTTCTCCAAACATACTAATAAAACTAAAACTTTAGAAAGATATTGCAATAATTGAAGAAGGACATGAAGCAGCTTAAACTAAAAGTGGCAATGAGGCAAAAGAACATTAACAGATTCCCAAAACACTAAGACATGAAAACCAAGAGGACTTGGTTGGATGTGGCAGAAGAAAACAGAGGGGTCAGTGCCATCTATTTCTGTCAGCCATGTGGATGGTTCATCACTGGGATAGAGAATACAGGAGTAAGAGAAGAAAGAGCAGTCTTGAGAGAGAGAGAGAGAGAAGTCCAATTTTCACATGTTTGGTATAAGATGTCTATGAGACTATACAGGGGAATGTCTGGGGCAATGAGGAAAATGCTTTTAACCCAGACTGCAAGGAATTCAAAAATTGTCCATGTATGCATGAACAGAGTAGCTTTCTGTACGTGTTTTGGGGAGAAATGCAGGGAAGAAGATAAAGATGGACAGAACTGTACATGAGGACACATTTGAGGGTAAAAGAAAAATAACACATGAGAGAGGGAGAGGAAACAGTAGGCACAGACGTAGAAATATCTGCTGAGTACAACAGATGGCAAGGATCTTGGTTCAGTCATGGCTGCTTCATTGTATTAAACCATGTTGACCGAGGTCTGTCCCCCATCTTTGGCCTCTGTTTTCCCCAGCCTTGGTCTCCTTGTCAAGCACACTTTCTGCAGGAAGAGAATGGATTTCTAGAGGTGTGTAGGTGTGTCTTGTCTAAGCATCCAGACTATAGCATTTTTGTTATAGCCTCCAGAACTGAAACAAGGCCAAGGTAGTTTAAACAGTAAGAGAACAATGTCAAATGCAGCAGTGTTCAAAGTGAGTAGGGATGACACATGTCCAGTGGGTTCTGTAACAAGGTGCTGGTGATGAGGAAACAGAAATTGGATCATAATAGGTTAAATGGTAAACAGTAAGTACAGAAACGAGGGCAGAGAATGTTCTCCACATCTTTTAGGAAACTTGGCCATGAAAAGGACAAGAAAAAAGGAACAAATAAGAAAGACATTTGGCCTTTATGATTTTTGCATAAAACCCATACTCAGAAAATAAAAAGTGCCCAAAAGAAGATAGAAAAATCCTTAACTTATTTTGAAATGATATAGACTTCATGTCACTAAATACTAAACCGTCTACATGTATTTTCAGTGAAGTTTTAAAATACTATCACAACACAAGTTGCATATCTACAATACATAAGATACACACTCAAGGCCTGCTCCAAGGACAGAACACTGGGGGAGGCTTAAAAGAAATAGCTGCCAAATCTTTGCTGGACTAACATAAACAGAAATTGAAATGGTGACTAAAAAAAAAAAAAAATTATAGAGTGTAATGTTGAAGTAGCTATATAGTATTCATCCAGAATCACTTCCTTTAAGGAGCCCTTGGTCACCCTGTGGCTATCACTGAGAAGGCTCCATTTCACAGTGATTAGAAAATTGGAGGGCCAGGGATTTAGCTTAGTAGTTCCACCACCTGCCTCACAAGCTTAAGGTCCTGAGTTCAATCCCCAGTACAAAGAAAGAAAGAACGAACGAACGAATGAACGAAAGTAAGTAAAGTGGGCACACCATCCAAAAAGTTTTGGAGCCCATCATCAGATTTTTGTGAGCAATAGATATATAAGTTTTCTTCCTTTCAGCTTAGGTGTGATGAGAAAGACATATGACTGGGGCCACTAGAAATCCATTCTCTCCCTGGAAAAAGTGTGCTTCACAAGGAGACCAAAGCTGGGAGAAACAGAGGCAAGAGATGGGGAACAGACCTTAGACAACATGGTCTAATACAAAGAAGCAGCCACGACTGAAAAAAAAAAAATTCACAGGTTTTTCACTTGTGGAAATGTTGTACATTCCTTTTTCTTTTCTTTCTTTCTTCGTTTTTGGTACTGGGGATCGAACTTGGGTCCTTGAACTTGTGAGGCAGGTGGTGAAACCATTGAGCCAAAACCCCGGCCCACACATTCCTTTTTCTTGAAAATGGGCATAAATAAATTTGTTACAACTAAAAAAAATCATGACTACCTAAAATGTCTGAGATATTTTTGTACATTAACTACTTCACTTGTGACAACAAATAAAAATCCTATGCAAGGCCAGGGATTTAGCTCAGCAGTTCAGTGGCCTGCCTTGCAAGCACAAGGACCCGAGTTCGATCCCCGGTACCAAAAAAAAAAAAAAAAAAAAAAAAAAAATTCTATGCAAAGGATTTTTTTTCTAAACAGGATGTCCTCTTATATACTATTCTTAACATTCACAGCCTTGGATTCTACCCTAGACACTATTCATAGACACAAAAAGAAATGTGCAAATTACTGCATTGTTATTCTGACGGACACCAATTAGAAATGCACCACAAATTATTTCAGATCAGTGAGTATTCTTGAGTTAAAAGAAGTCAAAGATTACATGATTGTAATCCCAGCTACTGAAGAAGTTAAAGCAGTAAAGTGGTAATCTCAGCCTAGGCAATTTAATACGATGTTGTCTCAAAATATAAATAAAAAGGGGTAGGGATGAACCTTGGTGGTACGGCACCCTTGGGTTCAATCCCCAATATGGGGGTGGGGGGGCATCATTAAAAAGGGTCCAGGACAGTCAGTACTTGCCAGAGAAGAGAGGCAGGTTTGCCTTTGACTTTACAAGAACTTATACCCAACAAGGTATTTTGAGAAAAACCCAAAGTGTCAAACATTGGTTTCTTAATATTGGAAGCTATAGAGTAAAATTACTGATAACAACAATAAAATCAGATCAGCAGAGTAAATTTCCTATCGATAACATATCTTTTCATCATAGCCTCAAATATTTATTATAGAAGAAAGGCAAAAAAACCAGATAGAAACGTAAACTAAGAGATCACCAAAGTAATCTATGACAGAAAGTTAAAAAAAACAAAATATGGGCTGAGAATATTAGCTCAGTGGCACTGTACCTGCCTCGCAAGCACAAGGTCCTGAGTTTGATCTCTGGTACCACAAAAAAAACAAACAAATAAACAAACAAAAAACCCTTACTGAGCTCTGGTGGTTCACACCTGTAATTCCAGCACATAGGAAGGCAGAAGTACTGAAAATTCAAGTATTACAAAAAACAAAACAAACCCTAGAACACCTCCTTAGAAAGCTCGAAACAGTCTAAGAACTGTTCATTGGTGTATGTCACCAGAGACAAGCCACTCTTTGTATTATCTTACAAACCAACATCCTTATCACCAAACCCTCTAAAAGAGACGATGTTCCAAGTTGTCATTACTTCAACACTTCCCTTACAATGCATTAAGCTCAGTACTGGCTCTGTGCTTCTATACACACGTCAGAAAATAAACCCAATCTTTTCAAGATTTTACTCATGAGCAGTATACTTTACACCCTATTTTGATATATAAGCCAATATTTTCCACACCTAGCTCGGGTGGAAACAGGTTCTTTAACCACAATTTTTGTTCTCTGTATCACTGTGATGTACAAAATGCTCAATGAGTTCTACTAATGCCATGTTTCTTCAATGTTTACAGAGTATTCTAACACTGAAAAACTGGCTACCATATGCCTGGTGAAGTTCTATCAACCTGTGAAAAATGAAGCAGAGGAGACATTCTGTTGCTTTCAGCAGCTATTTCAGGAATGTTCACATTTTTCTGAATGCATTAATAGTCCACGGTTATCTATATATACATACTTCAAACATGCCTTGGTGAGGCAGATTACTTCTCCTCTCAGGGATAGAGTGCTGTTCACATATTAGTTATAATGGAAATCAATGATCGTTTAAGTGAATTTTTGTCTATGACTGAAAATTGTGGAACCAATTTCACTCACATAACAAAAATAGTATACATTTAAGGGATATCTGGCAAAGAACCTTAAAGAATCTTACAGACCTGGCAAAGAACCTTAACCATAACAGTCCAGGAACTGCACTCACTTTTAGATTCTAGGCTGTCAAAGAATGGACACTTGAGAAACTCAGCTAAAAAAAATCACTTTTACTTTCAGCCACTGTCATCACGCGTATGCTGCAACTGGGGCCAATTATACAACTATGAACACTTAGCAGTTGGAAGAGAAGAAGAAGAAATAAAAGGCCCTTGAGAACTGGAGAGGGTGCTTCTCTGAGGACTTGAACCTGGGAAATAGGTGGCTGCTTATAACTTTGAGGATGGGGAAGCTTGTCCTAGCCAGCAGAAGGGCCACTGTGCTCCGCTCTGAGGTCATCTCCACATGAGCGGTTTATCTACACTGAAGAAACACAGACCTTTGCCTGTTTTCGGTGACATCTCCCTATTAGCTCTCAACCACAACTTGTGTAGCAACCAGGCAAATATACTTGCTTTCTTGGGAAAAGATACTCTTCAAAGTTCTATACAATACACAGAGCATGGCATGTGCAACATGATACTTACAAGATTCTCCATGTCTGTGCGAGCCAGCATGTATGTTCTGACATTACTATTCTGGTGGAGCAGTGTGTACAAAAGAAGTGTTGCTTGGTCAGACATCTGCTGTTCACACAGGGCTGTGTACAAGCTATTAAAGTTAATTTGGAAGGCATGTGGAATCGATGAGGGGAATGAACTGCTATCTAGAAGACAGAAAACATGAACAAAATTTTAAAAACAACACGAGTATTTTCTGGACTATGTTTCTACATAAATAATAAAAGTAATATTAAAGTAAGGCTTATAACCCAATTACCATTAACTTTATATAAAATCCCTACATTTCTGAGATAAATTTTCAATTTGTATTTTAAACTTAAGAACTAAAAACTAAGTTCAATAGTTTGTCACTATTTTCCCATATGAATCAGAATTAAATCAGCACTACAAACACGCTTCAAATGTAGCTAGGGGGCACAAGCCCTCCAACAGATATAATTTTACCAGGAATTTGAGACCTTTTTTTTTTTTAATCAAAACAAATATAACCAGTCCGAAATAAAGACAGGGATGAAAAATATAGTTTGTATATAAAATAAGAAATCTTATTCTAAGATAAGGTTTTTAAAAACTTTCTTGCCAGGCATGGTGGTGCATGACTTCAATCCCTACACTCAGGAAGCTGGGGCAGGATGATCTCAGGTTCCAGGCCAGCATGAACTACACAGCAAAACTCTATTTCAAAAAAATAAAAGAAAAAAAAAGAAAAAAAACCCACACTTGCCTTGAAGGTAAGTTTACTTACTTGAAATAAATAAATTATAGTTGAAGTTATTAACCCATTTCTAATGAAAAAGTTTCTATAAATGTACTGTTTACAAGAAAACTTAATTATCCCTGGCCCCATATAGCCGCTTGTATACAGTTGACTGTATTTGTTTAGAAACCAAAACACGAAGTTAAGAAGACAAAAAGGTTCAACTGACTGAGAGGAAATCATAGTATAACTGGATGAAACACAGGAATATGACAGTACAAAAAGCTAATATTTTCATGTGTTCTGGAAACTAAGCACAAATAATTTTTTAAAGACTTAAACACAGAAGAACCATTAAAAACAAACTAATCTGTTTTACCATTCCTCAAAGCTGTGCTCTTATGGAAAAAAGCTATGTCCCAACACAAATAATCTCTGGCAGTCCTGTCTTCTAAGACTCTCCTGCCATGCTTTGGGTTTGTAAGAGAAATACATCTACAAATGCCTGTGATTCAGCTATACAGCACTTTCACTTTTCCTTCTACGTTAGAAATATGTTATTTTTTTCAATCTTAACTCTATTTATGACACTAATAAAATTCCCTGTGAGCTTGACTTTATATTTTTGCAGAAGATGGTGAAAAGAACTGCTGCTATGCACCGTGAGTATGCAAAATTAGAGAATCTACATGAGACTCACTGGAGAAGATTCTAGACATTCTACACTTCTTCCCAATGGGAGCAGAGCAGCATATGCGCCAGCCTGAACTATAACTGACTGTACCGATGAGCGTGTATGGTATGTGTGTATCCACAACATCTCTACATTACCAGATAAAAAATGCTGTGAACCAGCCATTACAAAGACTGACTTATGTCTGTTAACATGTATTCAATCTGTGCAACAACCATGTCATTCTGATCAGTTTTACAAAGGATGAAATAAGGATTTAGAGAAGCTACATAATTTTCCCACATCAGCCCTGAGTAAAACCTAGAGCAGAGAGTGAAACCTCTGCATTATATTGCTTCTTATAGTAACAGCAACAATTTGGTGAGTCTATACTATGGTAAAAGTTCATTCATTTCCTTTTTTGGAACCAGAGCTCAATCTCAGGACCTTGTGCTTGCCAGGCAGGCACAGTGTCACTGAACTAAATTCCCAGCCCAGTTCATTCATTTCTTACAAGAACTGTGTGAGGTAGAGCTTACAATCTCTACTTTACAGATAAGACCACTGGTGTTTAGAATAAATTTGGGATATGAATGCAGGTCAATTTAACTCTAAAGCCAATAGTTTGAATCAATTGCTGTAATACATCTTTTGGTCTCCCATGTGTGATTATTTTTGGAAAAAATGTAAATCTAAATGGATATTAAGAATAAATAAATAGATAGATAGATATTTAAGGACCATAGCACTTTTCTAAGATTTATTTGATCTTCCCAAAACTGACAGGAAAATCTCTTTTTCTCAATTGTAACCAACAGGAAAACAACAAATTGACACTTATCTCCAAAAATTTAAGATAATGAATAATTTAAAGTAAACTGTTCTCTTCATTAGAAAGGGAGAAAGCATCACAAACCTTGTGTGTTCTTAAAGGACATAATGGCCTGTCTGTAGGGATTTGGTGCATCTGGAGCATCGGTCAGGTTAGCCAAAACCAGCAGAAGCAGGAGACTCTGGTTGGCCAGAGGAGAGGGAAGCTCTGGAGAGGCAGCTGCTTTGCTGCCCACTCCGCCGAGAGTGAAGACAGTCCAGAGTCCAGCTTGAGAAGAGAATACACGGTTAGGATGGATGCCCCCAGGAAGGTGAATGTCTACCGATAAAATAGTCTGTACATTTTATGTTTCAAATTTGTAAATAACATTTAACTTTCCTTTTTGATCAGAAAATGAAAATGATAGGGCTGGGGATTCAGTTCAGTGGTGCCACTACCTCCCCTGCAAGTACAAGGTCGTGAGTTCAATCCCCAGCACCAAAATAAAAAAAAAAAAAAAAAAAAAAAAAAAAAAAAAAAAAAAAAAA